TGAAAAAAAACCTGTGAAATCGGTTAAGTAAATTACAAACATATGTTTAATGAATAATCAACATCAACACTGTTTTCTACTATTTCATTGACTTAAAACGACATTATTTGAAGTGATTAAGTGATTATGATAACCATGTCTGATGAATACTTTCAACGACATTTGCCATATCTATGTTTGCTTATTGTACTCAGTTCAAGCTGACGAATTCATATGACTAGCTAATGAAGCATATCACAAAAAAAATGAATGATCATAACAGAATCCACAAGCATGACCACCGCAGAAAAGTTTGCTCTCAGAAGATGCATGCGTTGACTGTTCCTCTAAATTAGAAGAGAGTTATTCTTTCACATTAAGATTAAATCGATAGACCATTTAGTTTTTTTTTTTTGAATAAAGATTAACTAAAATGGATTGCAGAAACTGTTATACTAGTGTCTATGAAGTTACAGATGATGAATCATGCAACAGTAATCTTTTAATCAAGTAAAAAAAAGCTTTTATAGTTGCCCAATTTTATGTTTTGGTTGATGAACATTAATATATTTTGAATAAATGTTATAATCTCAGTCTTTTGCAATAAAATGGCTTCTGCTTGATTAAGTTCTTTACTTACTCAAATCTTTTTCGTCAGAGGAACAACCACTACCATCTTTTTTACATTCGGAACCTTGGTTAGATGAAGTCATTACTATAAGAAAAATAAATAAGAGATTTATCTTCAAGAAAAAAAAAATTATAGAATGCCATTAATATATATTAGAAACTATTGAAACTTCGATTCTATGACTAATAGAATCATCTTCAGGATGAATGAACGAAAAAAATTGATAGAATACAAGCGTTGAACAGAGAAAACATGCACTTTCGACCCAATCGGTGTTAATGAATGAATAGTTATTCAATAGATACTATGAACATTCTTAGCAAACAAATCATTTAAATCTAGTAGAATCTGTAATAATGTGTGTTTTTTTAAAAATCTAATTTCAAAAAACGAATATTTCGATTTTTTCTATTGTTTTAACAATCATCTTCAGCTTTTATTAAAATGGAGAAAAAAAAGTGACTAGGATTTGTTGTTACTTGATTATTAATTGCTTTTGCCCGATTGAAAGCAACTTCTTTGGATGTCTTTTCGTTGTTTATAATGCAAAAAAAAATTGATGAAATAAATGTATACTTTTACTTTTTATATATACAAAAGCATGATATTATTTCGATTTTTCTCACAAAAGCAAGTTTCAAACCTTTATGATATTTTTCAAAACAAAATTACGCATACACGAATTAAACTATACGTCAATCAAAACTGTGTAAACATTGACTATGCATATAAATAATGAAAAAAAAAGAAAGAATGTATGATAATGAAAGATAATTACAGATATAATGTACAGGTATTCAAGGTAAGCTATTATATTGTATACAATAATGATCGATTGATGCCCTATCTAGCTCATTTGGCAAGCATTCTTGTTATATTTTTCAAAAACAAAATTGTGCATACACAAATAAAAATATACATCAATTAAACCTTCATTGATTTTGTGTTATTCACAAAAATAAAGACAATGTACAAGAATGAATCAAAATATAAGTAAACAATAACTAAATTGTATTGAATTTGTCTATTAGAAGAATTTCAAAATAAAGAATCAAAATAGAAATAACAAATAACTGAAAAATCAAAAATTCAAAAACTTCATTAAAATATTGGATTTAACGAATTTTCTAGATCACGATAATGAGAAATATAAATTCTCGAATGAATTCAAACAGAAGTGTGATGACATTTTAGATAATATAAATGAATTAAATGATGATTCTGTTTCCTCAAAAACCAAGTTTATACTAGATGATAAACGATAAAATCTTAAAATTTAATACTATTCCAATTCTTTATCAATCAAAACGATAGAAAGAATTCTGAGAATCAAAATCAATCGACAACAAGATGAAAACGAAAATTGACAAAACGTAATTTGAATATATTGAAGATAAAATTATAAATGAAAGTTTAAAATATGTTTTTTAATAAACAATATACGAGAAGAATGAATGATTCAAACAATGAATTTAAAAAGTATTATCTTAAAGTTTTATTTAGAAAAAACAAAAAACAATATTTAATATGAGAATTGTCGAACAAGAAAGAAATAATTGATCGAAATCAAATAAAACAAAATTCTTCAAAAAAATACAAATAAATTATGCATTGAATTTTTTAATTTTTTAAGTATTGAGAGTACTTCTATCAATTATGATTTATTTACTAATTATTTTGAGCGAATGTTTAGTATAAATTTGAAAAAAAAAGAACAAAAACCGGTGATAAAATAATTATATTTATTATCATTCTACTATGACTACAAGTAAAAATTTTCTTGTTCGGTCACTGAAACAAGAATTCTAGTAGAAATAACTTAATTGCAATGAGACATACTGTTCCTAAGTATTTAGTGATTGATTTCTGTTCGAATAAAGATTTCTATTTGATTTGATAAAATTTTTGAAAGTTTTGTTTATCTGATTGTTACTACTGGGCATTATTATCATCATCTCATTATTGTCATTAGTCACTAAAATCAACAACAACAAATAGGTTCATAATAGAGAACAACAAGATATAGAAATTCTATTACTGACTACAGTTTCGAATGATGCTAACAATGAATTAACTGCTACATTCAACACTGATCGGATCGAAACAATTTTTTGCTATGATTTTCTTAAGTAATACACTGATAATTATTTGCCAGAGTATACTATACAAAACTCGGAGATTATCGAACACAAATTAAAAGAAAAAGTGAAAAATGTGCACAACTAACGATAAACATATGATACATCTATTTGTTTTTGGTATAATATACTACCCGTATGTAACGTCAATATTTTAAATATATGAACAAATATGACGCAAGTATTTGATTAAAACTCGACACTGCGTAAAATCGAAGAGTATTCCTATTACACATGCAATTGTTACTCGGAAATAACTGAACAGAAGATGATCTTCTTTTAATCAAGTATTGAGAAGTAAACTCACTTCAATCAATTGCTAGATATGATTCTCTAAATTGACATACAAATCGTCACCAGGAATGAGTTCGTCTGTGGTGGATATCACTTCAATAAAACAATATCGTTAGAGCTTCGGATTCCATATATTGCACTGAATTAGCCATACAATAGTTGTACTCATGACTATTGAGATTGAAAAAAACGAAAGAAGAAATAGCTGATCTATATAGAAGTTAGCTTACGTGTATAGTTCTACACTCACCTATGATGTTGAATACATTGTGGGTGTAGACGTAGAGTGTGGATGCGGGTGTGGGTGTAGGTGCGAGTGTGGAGGTGGGTGTAAGTAGGGTTCGAGTGTGAGTGTCCTTTTGATTCACTACCACACCCACACCTGACATCTCTTGAGAATTTAGATCAACTATGTGATAGCATAATTGTTAATCTTTTACCTTCCAACGGTTTCAGGAGAGTCACTAATAAAACACCTATTGAAACAGAGTATTGTCCTCTCCTGTAAGCCAATACTATAAGCAGATCAGACAGGTGTACTTCTCCTGTTTGTACGGTAATTGGGCAACTCCAGTTGCCATTGGGGATAGCAATATGCAAATTTTTTAAAAATCTCCTGCGAGTAGCTTGTTGATTTTGCAAAAATATAGTAAATTTTTTTTAAAATTCAATAATACTAATAATGAAAAAACCAACACATAACAAGATTTTCCTTTTTTCTCTATAACACAAGTATTTTTTCATTCTTCTTCAACTTCTAATATGATACGATTTTAAAAGATTTAGGGTGTAGATGTGAGTGTAATTTGGGTCTCTTCTTGTCCGACATCGACACAAACACTTGCTAACACCTAAATCAAATATTTATATAACAACAAATGATGCTTGTATTTATAAATAAGAGCAGTCTGTGAATTTAAACATGCGTAAATATTAACAAGTATTGCGTTTAGATAAGAATTCCTAAATCTTTTTTTCATGTCATTATCGTCTTCTTCCATGGACGTGATTCAAATAAATTGACTTCGATGTAACGGCCGAGTGAGTTTGACCGCCGTCAATGCGCTTTAAAAACTCTTTGATCTTACCATTAGATAGCTCTCAATTCATTGTTCGTCAATTGTAAAAATCAGCTTTCTAGACCCATGCTTTGAATTTGAACGATTTTTCTCGTCAAAATTCTTCATTTTTTGGGTTTCACTAGATGTGCACTTCTTTTTATTCCTTGCTTCATTCCATTTCTATTTTAATTTGAATTTTTTCTATAGTATATACCATGCGATAGAAAAGAACGCGCTGCACGATGAGGTATCTTTCAGTTGAAATACACTATCAAAAAAGTCTGCATTTCAACAAGTACACATGTGCTAAGTCAAATCATCAATAAACCTAGTTTTTCTCCGCTATAGTCAAATCAAAATTAACTTTCAAATATCTCACTAGAAAGCGCGTTTAAAACTGTACAAGATAGACTATTTAGTTAGTTTTTAAAAAAATGTTAATTATCACTTGTAACTTGGTCGAATTGGTACAAACATGTCAATTGGCCTCATGCTACATTATTATATCTTGAACCATTAATTGCTTTATATGATCTCTTTACAACATCACTTATGTGACAAACAGTTGTCTTTACGATAATATGGTATTTTCTTATTGGTTTTGGTATAACGGCTGGTCATCATCGTTTATTTTCTCATCGTTCTTATGAAGCTAAATTACCATTACAATATTTCTTATTTGTATCAGGTGATACAGATCTCGATCTATGTAGTGCACATAAAGGAATATTTTATTCTCATATTGGTTGATCATGAACTTTTATCTGATTATCGTAATGCAGTTCAATAATTTCAATATGATCCAACAAAATATTTAATAGAATTTTTTAAATTAACTGAACTTGCAAGTAATCTTAAAGAAATTCCTAAAATGAAATTCGTAAAGATCGTTATACAATGGAACGTAAGACATCGGATTGATTTGGACAAAGTATTACTTGACCAAAAGGGAAATTTGAAGAATATCAAGAATTATCAAAAAAAAATGATAGTCGTGTATATGTTTCAATTGCTAGTTGTATTCATGATGTTAGTAATTTTATTGATTCACATTCGAATGGACAAGCTATTATTAAAGTTTATGTTGACAAGGATGCTATCGTGGCATTTTATGGCAGTGTACATCATCATGGTACGTCAGGACATAATATACTTGCTATGATGCGAGTTGCTGTTGGTAAATATAGTGGTGAGGTAGAATATATTAGGAAAAGATTAGGACACGTACAAACGCCGACTTCTATTTTTGTCTAAGTTTTCCTTTTGTTTTCTGCTGTTAAATCATAAAGCTTTTCGAATTTCTATGATAAAGATCTTGATCAAAAAAAAAGCATGACCATAGATTTATTTCTGTAAGAATAACTGTGTGTTAAAGATTATTTTAAAAAAAAGTTAAAATCGTATATGAGTTATATTCTGAACGTTAACATTATTATTATTATTAGCATCACCATCGTTTCGAATATCAACATGAACGAATAAAGTTGAATGAGTTTCATCGTTATTATTAGCTCTTAAATAAATATGACGATAACCTAGATAAAAGAAAACTAAATAAATCATGTGGATAAATTCATCGGTATGCACTGGAGTTCGTCGAGTCCAGAACCGATTCAATGAGCCATACCCGAACAATAGGATGAAGAAAAATGTCCTTGTCTTTTGGAATAGAGTGGTGCCTACTGGCAGATTCTATAGTCTGATTTTTCTCAATACTAATATTAGCTGTAGTTCTGGATTGTAGACTGGCTTAATGCGGAGCTTTCAGGCTCAATTGTTTGAGTTCCCATATATCCCCCTGGACAAAAATAGTTTTACACAGTATTTCCCACAAATCATTACTATAAATTAACATTTTGGGAAAAGTAAGGATATATTCGGATAGCCCGTGGAGTTCTCTACAATTCTATATATAAACATTTTGAATTGCATTTATTCGCTAAAAATGAGTTCAAGCACAGTGAAGGCACCCTCATCTCCAGATTCCCTGGAAATGCATTTTTTGTTCCTTGTTCGTTCATTTTTTCAAATATATTTTGAATATAGGAACAAGTTGTTACAAAAGTAAGTATATATTCTGAAAGCGCGTGAAATTCTGTATCACCCTGTACTTTTACCAATCTTAACTTGCAAATATTTGATGACAAATATTTCAACTATTGTTAATGTACTCACGCATCACGTACCTAGGTTAGATGTTGTCAGGAATTCAGTCGTCATCTCTGTGCAAAGTGGTTTATTCAAGACCAGACACTCTCAACAGCATTAAGATCCAATTTGATAGGTTGTTAATTATCCATACCTCTTACTTGGTTAGCAGATAATCGTTCATGCGGAGTATCGAGGGTGAGGGTACATTAATAATACTCCAAATATTTGTCATTAGACAATTGCAAGTCAAGACGGGTACAGTATAGGGTGATACAGAATTTCACGCGCTTTCAGAATATATACTTACTTTTGTAATAACTTGTTGTATATTTAAAGGAACATAAAATGCATTTCCGGGAAATCTGAACATGAGGGTGCCTTTATTGTACGTGAATTTATTTTTTACTGATAAGTGCAATCCGAAATGTTTATATATAGATTTGTAGAGAATTCTTCGGGCTATCCGAATACATCCTTACTTTTCCCAAAATGTTAATTTATAGTAATGATTTGTGGGAAATACTGTGTAAAACTATTTTTGTCCAGGAGGATATGCACTAATTAATCACAAGAGTAGGTGTATGTCACAAGGTTGTCAGCTTTCTATCGGACGAGTGATTTGAGACAAGCAGTCGTTGGCGATCTACTCAGAATCATTTCATGACTGATAGTACCAAGATTTGCACACAGTGCGTCAACGATGCATTGTTTTATGAAGATTTTATCTTCGGCAAAGATGATTGAAAAACTTCGGGACAACGAACCCTGATTGTGGAAAACACAGATGCATAGCACATGATTCAATAACTACAAACTCTGGAAGAATCAATCTGATCTTCAAAGGAGCACCATCTCTTTGGTTCCCACGGCAGATAAAATTCTACAGCTATGATAGTTCTCCCAAAAATAACTGCCGACTATGATATTAGGTTTCAAACCTTTGGAAAGAATTCTTTTTGTTAGGTCTTTTCCTAGTAGCTACGTAAAAGTTGATCAGAAATCAGTATTTTGATTGAACAAGTTTATTAAATTTTGCCTGAAATGATGAAGATTCAAAATTGTTTCTAGAAATATCTAATTAAAATTTCATTAGCAATTTCAAGCTTTTGAGCACATATTTTGTTCACACATAGAAAACATCTGATTTAGTATAAAATTGAAAGGATTCTTCTTAATCCTTCTGTTATCAAACGTTCATATTTCAATTAAATCCCAAAACTGTTTTCTGACTACTTTCTATCGAATTAGCACGATCAGTGCCAACAAAAATAAAAAAAACATTTTTTAGAAAAGCGGTTAAGTACGTATTAATGTGTTCTTTTGCAAAGTAGAAAATTCGTCCACTATCTTTTACCTTCTTGTATCATTGTTACTGGTGCACTGAAATAAGCAATTCTATCGTCATCCGACACAGTATCATAATCAAGAACAGAAAAGTACATGAGACACATTTGAGGAAATCGTATACGAAACTCAAATGTTTCATTCCATATTGGATCAAAACCATTATTATCAACAACTTGTGTTTTTTGTGTTTGTTGATCACATGGTAAACCATGTGTCGATATTCTTACATATGGATCAGGTATATCTTTTGATTTGATAGTTGAACGAGGTAAAAATTGTCCACTTATTATTGTTATTGTTAAAATTTGTGGATGATCAAAATTAATTGAACTATTCCATGGATTAAATTTTGTTTTATGTGCTTTGATTAAATAATCTGGCTTAAGTATATAACCACAACAACCATTATCACGAAATTTTCCATAATATAATGCCATCATATCATCATCAGTTTGATAATTCAAAGCAACCATTTGTACACCAAAATTCCAAGGATTTATCGGATCTAGATTACTTGAATCTTGTCTTAAACCATCAGGATATACACGAAGAATACGCCATGTTGTTTGTAGAATTAAATCAAGTGGATCTCTTTGTGCATATTTTAAAAAAGTTTTTTCAGCCAAAGATGATGAATGAAATGGTGTATCTTTTTGAAATATAAATTTCAAGTTTTACAAGAGAAGTAACAAAAATAATTCAATAACTTACAATTTACTTTAGTGTAATCATTTTCTTCATAAGGAACATTCATAAAATATACAAATAATTCAGATAATTCTGGTTCAACATCCTAAAATATTAGATAGTATATTAGTATTGATTATTGTTTTTATTAATTGCTGTTCGATTTTGCATATATTCATGACTAGAATCTATAGAGAACTGGTTTAAAGAACATGAAAAATGTTTCGAATAGAAGTCGATAATTGAATCTATCGAGTTGATTCCAGAACTCGGTCCAAAAATTTTGTATTTAAATTATAGAAAATTATTGTTTCATGTTTTGTCGAAAGATAAAATAAAATTACAATTAAAAAGAAGAATTCAGAAATGGATAAATCATTTTCTGAAATTATTGAAAAAATCTTGCGTAACTTTTTTTTTCTTGTACCTAAAAACTATTATTTTTCAATTAAATGTAATTAAATTAAATCCATGTTCAACACTACAAAATAACACACTTAGCTAAACCCCTTTTTAGGATTTCGAGACAGACTATAGATTATATAAAACTAATGACTTAAAGAACAAATGAAATTTCAAAAAGATAATACGATTTATAAAATATAGAAAGATTTTAATCAATTAAATAGTAGTCCGAACAGTTTTGAACTAGATCATATTCATTATGTGACAAAGATTACAAAAAAGATTCTTCAATGATTTGAAGACTTTATTAAAAATCAAAAATAAGTTGATATTAATATTGTTCAAAATAATAAAAAACAAAGACTTTTGAACAGGGAAAAACGACTATTTTGGATATTTTGATTATGTAAATTTTCTCGCTGCATAATTTATATGTTTCGTTCTTTTAAATGAAAATTCATATGTAAATAATAGCATACTTTTCTTAATGAATTCTGTGAAGAATATTCATTAAGTTCTTCTTGAAACATTAAATTTGATATTGTTGATGTTGACGTTGATTTACCCTAATAAAAACACAAAATAGGAAATTAAATATTCCTATATAAATAATATTATACTTACACGAATGAGAACTTTATATTTTAAATCTTCTGGTGATGGTAAAACTGATGGATCTTTATCGGATAAATGTTTTGTCACCAAATGATCTATACTGACATGAGAATTATATGTATCATAATTATTTTCTTACCACCAAGATAAGTTTTCAAAATTTGAGCCATTTGTTTTTGTTGTGCAGATGAACAATGATTTTCAATATTTAATATAACTGGATAACTAATAAATAAATAAATAACAACATTCATATATATTTTATTCAAAGGCAATTTTTAGTCACTGTTAAACATTTACTTAAAGTTAATTATTCTTCAGTTAGAAGAAAATTCTAAGTAACTATTTTTGATTTTCATCAGTTATATTTTAGTTTTCTAAAGGTAAACAAAAATTCATGTTCTGAATTTTTTTTTTACTAATTGTTCCATTGCTAAAAAAAGGCGATTGATTTCCAATTTATTGCGCTTTTTACTACTTTAGTTACCATGAAAAATTCATCTTCTTCGTTTCGATAACTCAAATCAACAAGTATTTTAGATGCTATATATATTAATAGTTTAAGATTTTGAAATAGGAGATTTCGTATAGGATTATCATCTGACATTTTTCAGACTCTTGTACTCAATCACCTTTTCGACTAAGGTTTTGCTCGCATGACAATTTAATTCTTTGTCTGCTATTTATTTAAATACTAGAAGAGATTTTTTTTTAAAATAAAAATTCTAAAATGTACGATACTTTGGAATATTACTTTTTTTTTTCTATATTGTCTTGTCTCGAAAAAGTTTTGAAACAATTCCAATTATCTCGCAGGATTCTAATTTCTATAAATATTTCGAGTATGTATTCCGACAGAACTTAATGTTATACTTCTAAATAATTACTATTAACTCTTAGTAGTTGTTTGAATTGTTGAAAAATTGAATAAATATTATTGTGTAAAGATATTTGTGTAGTAAGTTAAATAAAATTCTAAATAATTACGGAGAAGCTTTAAAAAGATTTGGTTGTATACGACGAATAATTGATTCAAGAGAACATGATTT